TGGTTTGCGTGTTCGTGAAGTTTGAAGTGACCCCGTGTCGTAATTCCAAAGAGATTCCAAGTCGGTGAATTCGCATTTAACCCCAAATTTAAGCGTTCCACTCTACGTACAATTAAAATGAGTTTGTTATAATTAGCAGTTTTTTATCAGCATTTTGTGACAAAAATAGATTCTACAAGAATATCCTTAAAAATATACTGTTGTGCAGTGGCTTCATCAGTTATATACTTTGATTCCTCAGTGGGTTTTCTATTTTCTCAGTAAATATGGATTAAGTAAAGAAAATAGTAACACTACTGGCAGCCAGCACAACACGTCGGTGAAAACGAGGGTCGGGGGTTCCAGAGCTTCAGTGCTGTACGACGTTGGGCACGAAGTAGAAACAGTAATCGCTCTTCTTCATTCATACAAGGTAGGTGAAAAACAGTTGTGTTAATATAGTATAGTGCTTTTTACAAACAAGGGGAAAAGGATAGTGAGGAATATGAATAGGATGTAGTGTTGGGAAAACGAGGAGGACCCCTTTCGAAATATGAATGCGGGCATTGCTTGGACATTGTAGTGGACCTTGTTATGCCAGGAAGAATAAAATCCTAATCGTAAGTGTACTTTCTCACGTTACAAGAAAAATGCATGTGGTGCTAAAAAAATCAAAAAAAAACATTCAAAAGAAAATTTGATATAGCTTTTATGAGCACCCGCCTTCTGACACGATTCCGTACACATACACATACCTACACACATATATCATTTAGCAGTTTATCTCAGCCTGCAGCATTACATAGATTACACGCCACACTGGATGGTAGGTGTGCATGCGTGTGTTGTGGGTGGAGGTTGGGTGTGGTGCGAAAGAATAGAGCTTATAGGTGAGGATTTAGAGAGTGTTGTTATGAGGAGGTGAGATGTTGTACATGCAAAATGCTATGCGGTTGATGGTGATAGTCTAGTAGGGTATAATTGCGTGTTGATTAGAGGGATTTAAAAGATATGTTTAATATACAAGAGGTGTGTGGGCTGTGTGTGTGTGGGTGGCTGTGGTGTGTGTGTGTTGTGTGTGTGTGTGCGTGCGTGCGGTGTGGAGTCTTGTGTGTGTGTGTGCAGGTAGAGTTAGATAGACGGTAATATAGGTGTACTCCAACCACTTTGAATGAATAAATAGTAAGTAAAAATAACGTCGTGACAAGTAAAACTGATTTGGTAAAATCACACCCAATCAAACCCTAAGAAAAAATAAAAGTAAACGAAACGTTGCCAGGTGAAACGCCCAGGTAGGCTTGTCCTTTTCTATCGTCGCAGCTTCTCCCGCGACAGCTTCAGTATCCTCCCCACGGGAATTAAAAGCAGGAGTTTTTGGGCGGCCTAGGAGACGTACGGGGCTGCATCTCCTCGTGGAGTGGGGTGAACGCCCCGTCCTTCATCTTGTAAGGGGAGGCACAACGATATATCGGGGACCGTAGGGGGACGTATACAGGTGAGGTCACTACAAAGGAGTATCGTATGGGACTTACATATTTCCTTTACTTCACATAGAGCAAAAGACGACTGCATTCCCAAAATTATAAGCAGTAGTCGTAGTGTAGTATTTGCGATTTTGAAAAATTATCCGAGATTATCATATCACCAAAGGAAGCAAACAAAACAAACAAATGCGACCTTCGAATTCACGACGCTGGTGATAACGCTTACTTTTCCAGGAATGCTATGGAAAAGTTTTAGGGTATGTATCCTCCATAAAGCAAAATACAGATGTATAGGACCGGTAATGCTGATATGTAGGGCTGTTCACACAAACAACCTGCATTGTTTGTTTTCTATATTGCTAGGGAGCTTTTTTATAAGGAGGGGAAAGGTAGCACCATAAGCATGCATAAACGGGATTGCAAAATTATGTGTGTTGGTGGTTGTTTCTGTATTATGTAATGCAAAAAGAGAGGGGGAGAGAGCGAGGAGGGAGAGAAGAGGGAGGTAGATGAGGCAGGACGGGTTTTATTGGCAAGAAGACATTACAAATGTGTCACGCTTTACATGTTCGAAAGGATTCTCGGCTGAAGGATTTTACACTGTAAAAGTCGAAAGTAAACGCCGCAATTAAATACATTCGATAATGCGCTATTGTACCAAAAAATAGGGCTAAACTACCAGACTGATCTGGTAGTTCGCTTGGAAGAGATTTGCGAATGACGATGAGTCAAGGCCCCTGAAACGCATGGAAAATATAGAAGTATATTAGACAGAAATGACATGAAATATCCGGGAGAGTTTCTATCTTAACAATGCCTGTATATTTTCGTTATATAGATTTTCCTTAATACTTAAAACTGTAACCTTGAATTTTGAAGGTGTGTTAACTTTCTATGCCCCAGTCTCTTTTTGTTACTTGTACTAATATTACTCTTAATTAATCTTCACTTTCAGTGATAATACCATTACAGTGACAGTGATAACTAAGCACACTACAGTCTGTTTTACTTGACATCTTATCCATATTTACAAATGGAATATTAACTATCTTTGCCACATCGCATTGTGCTACAACAATACATTACTATGAAAAATAAAGTGATAGTTAATAGAAGAAAGAATATATAATCTTATATACTGATGACTTTGTGTAGTTCAGAAATTACATATGGTCAAATATTATGCATAAAAAATATTTGTTATGTTATTGACATCCGTAGTGTTACGTAAGTTATGTATTTATCATTTTACAATATTTCAGATTTAATGTTTAATGTTTTATTGTAAAAATGTATACTTATTTAATTGCCAACTCAATTGATCATAATGAAAAACATGAAAGGAAACAATTTGAAGCTGATATCTGCTTCTTCGTCTTGGTGATTATGTGGCGACAATAAAGGTTATAGATAGTGAATATAATGATAGAAATGCAGAAATATACTGCAATGCAGGCACAGTAGCTCCAATTTACAACTTTACAGTAATTGTACGGATGATGTCATCATGGGGCTGCCGGGCATTATTGGAAATGACACCTAGCACCGAAACTGAAAAATCTGATCTTACCATCCGAAAGAACGAAACATTTTAAGACAATGTCATTCGCAAACTAATAGTCATAAATCAGTGGAAATTGAAGTTGTTATAAGAAAGCACTCGTAACTTTTGTTTACTCTTATTCTATTTTGTGAAATTGTGAACCATGAACTTGCAAGATATCGATAAATATCATGTGAATTTATATTACACCTGAATATTGTGTAGTGACTTAATTGTATTAACTCAAAATGGCAAGTTGAAGCACTTATTTTTTTTACTCTTGTATTTTAGTGAATAGCCAATTAACGAGGATGAGTATGTCGCTTCCGTATAGTAAGCAGTTGTAAGTGGTCAACAATAGTACGTGCTGAATGAGCAACCAAGGTCAGGGTCCAGATCAAGGTCAGAACAGGTGACTACCTAAGAAATACGTAAACTGCAGAAGAGACGCTCCAGTCGAGATTAAGTGTCGCAGACCTAAGGTATTGTACAAAAAAAAAAACATGTGATTTGTACCTACAGGATTTGTGATGATGCTTGTGAAAACATATAGATATGAACTAGTATTTTTTTATTATTACTCCACACAATGCCGTTAAGGTTGTAGAAAGGTTATTGAACTCAAACAATTGTTCAAGGGACGCAAGGAAGATTATATTGAATCCTACACTGCGAATTGTCATACTTTTCGTCACCACTGTTGGCAGGCATTGCGACCACTATCCGATCTTTTGCGTAATTGCCATGATATTTTGCATGTTAAAGGCGAATCAGTTGTCCCACCACCTTACACACTGCCTAGCCAAGATGGAAGTGATTAGAATTCCAGTTGACTTCCCTTGAGTCCAGCTTACATTGCCACGTAATTATAAGATACAGATCTTATTAGAATTTAGTATTTACCGTCACGTCTCGGTAGTACAATTCCTATTAGCTCGTTTGATTTCCGTCGTACACGGCATTCGATACAATTCCGTCATTATTTCGTCGCTTTCTTGATTTCTTGGTACTGGAAGAATGCGAATTATGGAGCACCAGGAAAATTTTACGGGTACATCCCCTCTAATACCCTTAGGATTAGTTTGCGAAAGAAATGCAATAAAAGAAGAGCATATTAGAATGATACGTTCTATGGGATGCCAAGGTCAGATTCTTTAGTTTAAGGGTTAAGAGTTATTATCAATAATACCATCACCATCCTGAGATACCTACTTGATGATTAGTTATGATAAAAAACTAAGTGCATACGATAAGTACCAGCTGCGAACACCTGTTCTCCCCCCTCCCACCCTCTCTATTTCACACACACTCTCTTTTAATTCTAATTATTTTTATTTTCCCTAAATGGAAGTCTACCCTCTCTCTATCCAGCGCCTATATACGAGCGCATTCAGAGACAATCTAAATTTATCATGCTGGCACTTCAGAACTCTTATTAAAAAGGTGGCTCAATATTTTGTTATTTATCTCAAGAAACTCTGTGAAAACTGACACTGAAGATGGGTGAATGTTTGTTTATGTTACCCCTCAAGAAACTAAGCGAAAAAGAAAACGGGAGAGAGCAATCCGACCATCTCCGTGAAAGCCAAGGACAAGGTCACCATCCTCTGGTTATGGACACGTTGGTAACACCGGATAATGCAGGATTGTCAGTTTCGTTATTTTGGTACATTTTAATGGCGTTTTCGGCACACTGTTGCGTGTTCGTGAAGTGGTCGTAATTCAAGAATTCACTGTCGGTGAATTCGCATTTAACCAAATTTAAAGCTTATCCACTCTACGTACAATAAAATGAGTTTGTTACAATTAGCAGTTTTTTATCAGCATTTTTGTTACAAAAATTAGATTCTACAAGAGATATCCTTAAAAATATATGTTTTGCAGGCTTACACTCAGTCTATACTTGATCCCTCAGTGTCTTTTCTATTTTCTCAGTAAAATAAAGAAAATCGTAACATTACTGACAGCCAGACAACACTGTCGGTGAACGAGTGTCGGGTGTTCCAAGAGCTTCAGTGCTGTACGACGTTGGGCAGAAGTAGAAACAGTAATCCGGCTCTCTTTCCTCATACAAGGTAGAGTGAAAACCAGTTGTGTTTATATAGTAGTGCTTTTCAGCCCAAGTGGACAAGATAGTGAGGAATGAATAGGAGTGTTGGGAAAACGAGACGGACCCTTTAGGATATGAATGCGGGCATTGGTTGACATTGTAGTGTACCTTGTTATGCCATGAAGAAAATATCATAATCTTAAGTGTACTTTTCTCCCGTTACATATCAAACTGCATGTTGTGCTAAAAAAAAATAAAAAAAACATTCAAAAGAAAATTTGATATAGCTTTTCTGAGCACCCGCCTTGACACGCTCCCGCACACATACACATACATACACACATATATCATTAGCCGTTATCTCCGCCTGCAGCATACATAGATACACGCACACATGTATATGTATGTGTGTGCATGCGTGTGTGGGGGGTGGGGTGTTAGTGCAGAAAGATAGATGCTTATAGGTGAGGATAGAGAGGTGTTGTTATGAGTAGGTGGATGTGTATTGCATACATGTATGAGTTGATGGTGATAGTATGGTATACATGGTTGTTGATTAACGGGCATAAAGATATGTTTATATATACATATGTGTGTGTGTGTGCGCGCGCTTGTGTATGTGCTTGTGTATGTGCTTGTGTATGTGTATGTGCTTGTGTGTGTGTGTGTGTGTGTGTGTGTGTGTGTGTGTGTGTGTGTGTGTGTGTGTGTGTGTGTGTGTGTGTGTGTGTGTGTGTGTGCGTGCGTGCGTGCGTGCGTGTGAGTGCTTGTGTGTGTGAGTGCTTGTGTGTGTGTGTGCATGTAGATGTTTAGATAGCGGTAATATAGGTGTACTACTTTGAAATAAAGTAGTAAAAATAACCGTCGTGCACAAGTAAAAATGATTTGTTAAAACACACCAAATCAAAACCTAAGAAAAAAAAGTAACGAAGTTGCCCAGGTGAAACGCTCCAGGTAGGCTTTCCTTTTTCTATTCGTCGCAGCTTCCTCCCCGCGACAGTTATCCTCACCCCCGGGAATAAAAGCAGGAGTTTTGGGCGGCCTAGGAGACGTACGGGGCTGCATCTCCTCCGTGGAGTGAGGGTGAACGCCGTCCTTCATCTTGTAAGGGGGAAGGCAAAACGTATATATAGGGGGCCGTAGGGGGACGTATACAGGTGGTCCACTACAAAAGGAGTATCGTATGTGACTTACATATTTCCTTTACTTTCACATAGAGCAAAAGACGACTGCATTCCCAAATTATAAGCAGTAGTTGTATTTTCGATATTTGAAAAATTATCCGAGATTATCATCTCACCAAAGTAAGCAAACAAACAAAACAAATGCGACCTTAGCCATTCACGACGCTGGATGATAACCGCTACTTTTCCAGGAATGCTATGGAAAAGTTTTAGGGTATGTTTCCTCCATAAAGCAAAAGACAGATGTTATAGGACGTTAATGCTGAGTATTGTAGGCTGGTTCACACAAACAACCGTGATTGTTTTTTTTTCTATATTGTATGGGCGTTTTATAATGAGGGGCAATTTTCAGCACCATAAAGCATGCATAACTGGATTGCATACATTATGTGTGTGCGTGTGTGCTTCTGTATTTATGTAATGCAAAAGAGAGGGGAGAGCGAGGAGGGAGAGAAGAGGGAGGTAGATGAGGAAGGACGGGTAGTGGCAAGAAGACATCACAAATGTGTCACGCTTTACATGTTCGAAAACATTCTCGGCTGAAGGATTTTACACTGTAAAAGTCGAAAGTAAACGCCGCAATTAAATACATTCGATTAATGCGCTATTGTACCAAAAAAGAGGGCTAAAGTACCAGGCTGATCTGGTAGTTCGCTTGGAAGAGATTTGCGAATGACGATGAGTCAAGGCCCCTGAAACGCACGGAAAATATAGATGTATATTAGACAGAAATGACATGAAATATCCGGGAGAGTTTCTAACTTAACCATGCCTGTATATTTTTGTTATATAGATTTTCCTTAATACTTAAAACTGTAACCTTGAATTCTGAAAGTGTGTTAACTTTCTATGTTCCAGTCTCTTTTTGTTACTTGTACTAATATTACTCTTAATTAATCTTCACTTTCAATGATAATACCATTACAATGACAGTGATAACTAAGCATACTACAGTCTGTTTTACTTAACAACTTATCCATATTTACAAATTGATTGTTATATAGCCTTTGCCACTTCACATTATGCTACAAAAATAGTGATAACTACATATTTACCGAACATTCTATTAATAGTGGAAGAAAGAATATATATTCTTATATACTGATGACTTTGTGTAGTTCAGAAATTACATATGATCAAATATTATTCATAAAAAGTATTTGTTATGTTACTGACATCCGTAGTGTTACGCAAGTTATGTATTTATTATTTTACAATATTTCAAATTTAATGTTATGTATTTTTTAATTGTAAAAATGTATACTTTTTTAAATTGACAACTCAATTGATCATAATGAAAAACATAAAAGGAAACAATTTGAAGCTGATATCTGCTTCTTCGTCTTGGTGATTATGTGGCGATAATAAAGGTTATAGATAGTGAATATAATGATAAAGATGCAGAAATATACTGCAATGCAGGCACAGTAGATCCAATTTACATCTTTACAGTAATTGTACGGATGATGTCATCATGGGGCTGCCGGGCATTATTGGAAATGACATCTAGCACCGAAACTGAAAAATCTGATCTCACCATCCGAAAGAACGTAACATTTTAAGACAATGTTATTCGCAAACTAATAGTCATAAATCAGTGGAAATTGAAGTTGTTATAAGAAAGCACTCGTACCTTTTGTTTACTCTTATTCTATTTTGTGAAATTGTGAACCATGAACTTGTAAGATATCGGTAAATATCATGTGAATTTATATTACGCCTGTATATTGTGTAGTGACTTAATTGTATTAAGACAGAAAGAATTATTAAAGCCTCTCTCGACGTTCCAGTAATCCTGAGATACTAACTCGAAATGGCAAGTTGAAGTATTTTTTTTTACACGTATATTTTAGTAAATAACCAATTAACGAGGATGAGTATGTCGTCTCTATATAGTAAGCAGTTGTAAGTGGTCAATTATTGGAAATAAGAGTTATTTCCAATAATACCATCACCATCCTGAGATATCTACTTAATGATTAATTACGATAAAAACTAAGTGCATTGAATAAGTACCAGCTGCAAACACCTGTTCTCTTCCCTCGCACTCTCTCTATCTTACACACACTCTCTTTTAATTCTAATTATTTTTATTTTCCCTAAATGGAAGTCTACCCTCTCTCTATCCAGCGTCTGTATACGAGCACATTCAGAGACAAGCTAAATATATATCCATGCTGGCGCTTCAGTACTCTTATGAAAAGGTGGCCCAATATTTTGTTATTTATCTCAAGTGAAAACTGACACTGAAGATGGGTGAATGTTTGTTTATGTTACCCCTCAAGAAACTAAGCGAAAAAGAAAACGGGAGAGAGCAACCCGACCATCTCCGTGAAAGCGAAGGACAAGGTCACCATCCTCTGGTTATGGACACGTTGGTAACACCGAATAATGTAGGGCTGTCAGTTTCGGTATTTTGGTACATTTTAATGGCGTTTTCGGCACACTGTTGCGTGTTCGTGAAGTGGTTGTAATTCAAGAATTGACTGTCGGTGAATTCGCATTTAACCAAATTTAAAGCTTATCCACTCGACGTACAATAAAATGAGTTTGTTATAAATAGCAGTTTTTTTTAATCAGCATTTTTGTTACAAAAATTAGATTCTACAAGAGATATCCTTAAAAATATATGTTTTGCAGGCTTACACTCAGTCTATACTTGATCCCTCAGTGTCTTTTCTATTTTCTCAGTAAAATAAAGAAAATCGTAACACTACTGGCAGCCAGACAACACTGTCGGTGAACGAGTGTCGGGTGTTCCAAGAGCTTCAGTGCTGTACGACGTTGGGCAGAAGTAGAAACAGTAATCCAGCTCTCTTTCCTCGTACAAGGTAGAGTGAAAACCAGTTGTGTTTATATAGTAGTGCCTTTCAGCCCAAGTGGACAAGATAGTGAGGAATGAATAGGAGTGTTACCTTTTCCTGCATTCCGTCTGATAACGAAACTAAGTAGTAAAATCTGGAAATGTGGAGTGAGTAACCCAGACCACGCCTGGTGTATTAGTGCAGGATTATATTCTTCGCCTTTAAAAGACGGCTTGTTCAAAAAGGCTAATATCATTGCCTAGTTCTATCATTTACGTTTTACGCTCAATATAGAATTGGCAGTAACTTCTATGGGCATCAATCTCGGGTCCTGAGAGATGGGAAAATAAGACGGACCCTTTAGGATAGGAATGTAGGCATTGCATATGACATTGCAGTGTACTTTGTAATGTCATGAAGAAAAATATAATCTTAAGTGTACTTTTCTCCCGTTACATATCAAACTGCATGTTATGCTGAAAAATAAACAAAATTCAAAAGAAAATTTGATACAGCTTTTCCGAGTGCTCGCCGTAACATGCACGCGTATACATACACGTATACCATTAATCGTTATATCCGCCTGGAGCATACATAGACACACGAACACAAATATATATATGTATGTATGTGTATGCGTATGTGTGTGTGTGTGGGGGGGGGGTAGTGCAGAAAGATAGATGTGAGGATAGAGAGGTGTTGCTTTGTGTGGGTGAATGTGTAATGCATACATGTATGAGTTGATAGTATGATATACATGGTTGTTAATTACTGGATATAAACTTATGCTTACATGTGTGTGTGTGTGTGTGTGTGTGTGTGTGTGTGTGTGTGTGTGTGTGTGTGTGTGTGTGTGTGTGTGTGTGTGTGTGTGTGTGTGTGTGTGTGTCTGTGTGTGTGTAGATGTTTAGATAGCGTTAATATAGGTGTGTAGGTGTGCGGGCGCACAGGTGGTAACAGTTTTAAAGGTGATTTTTAATAAACTAGAATTTAGCATTTTTATACAGCAATATATGAAAGATTAGCCTATTTTTTAG